CTCTCTCATTGGGAGCACTGGCTATGCTCTGTGGTGCCTCCATGTATGGAGAAGCAGCATCCAGATCTTACTAAATTTCAAGAAGGAGAACAGGTATCCAAGTCCCTTGTATAAGCAAAAACTATAGTTTGGTATATTTTTTTCTAGTAAAAATGCTCACTGCTCAGTATATAAATAACCATTAATTTCAGGAATGTATCATGCTTAATAAATATTTGCTGTATTGCCAACATATGCTAGCACAGTTTCAACTAATAGTTATTGGTAGATGCAGGCCGAGATAGAAAGACATATTTGAAAGGCAAATCTAACACTTCTGTGGTCTTCTACTATGTAGCAGAAGGTGCCCCTGGTCTCGATATCAGAGTAGATCCTTTACAAACTTCTTGCAGCCTTAATACTCTCCTGCTTTGAGCAAAAACTAGAACATATTGTCTATCAACTTAAGAGTTCACTCTGTTTTAGTAGAAATGAATAGTGGGTTTACTGTCTCCTTCTTATGTACTATTTCCTTTAAGCAAGTCTGAATGTGCCCACTTTTCTGTTGGAGTTTAACCACCCCAACTATCTCAGAACTCTGACATTCTGGACTCTTCATGTATTGATTTCTTATCCTCTCTTCCCGTGTGTACCAGGTATATTTGCCAGGTGCAAAACTTCTATTTCAGTAAGGGAGAGATAAGGCTGCTCTGATGAGGTGCAGGTATTGCTTTGTTGCATGCCTCTTCATGTAAGGAAGAGACATGCAACTTGGTTCAAACTACCCTTGAAATAACAGATGTAGGAGGAGAAGTGGGCAGGGGCAGGAACAGGGTAGCAAGTGAATCATAATTCTTTCTGATTTGTCTACAAGCATTACATCAGCTACAAAAGTAATTTTAGCGGGAGCATCTTAACTCTCAGGACTCTCCCAAAATAGTCAGCTATTAAGGTATTTCCCAGTGAAAGCCTCCTTTTCTCAGAAATCAGTTTTTAGTAGCCTTAGAGGAGGGCAGAAAATTCTACACCATTACTCACTCCTGGTTTTATGAACACTCTCTCTTCACACATCCAAAAATGGCATAAGCTCACTTTCCTCCCTTTTGCATGCCTAAGCAAAATGTAGCAGGGCTTCTGCAATATTTCACTCGGGCAATGACAGACTATGCAGCTGCACATCTTCCCAAAGCTTTTATAGACATTTCTTACGTTTTAATATTTTATGGGTGGCTTGCCTAGAGTTCAGTGTTGTAAATGGCACCACTATTCTGAACTTCCTCCTGGAAGGGACGGTGTGAACAGGGAGCTGCACAGGTCTGAAAGCAGAGACGATGCCTTACCCGTATATAGGCATCCTGGTGATGTTTGGCGAAGTACAGCATGTTGTCGAGGGCCAGCATTCCAGGAGGGGTCTGCGTAAAATCCATTGCAGGGTTTACATGATTCTGCAGAAAGACAGCAAGATTGCTCCATCAGTATCTTCACAAAACCCATCAGCTCCCTCATGTTTTACATGCATCAGGTCAGCATGCTGATGCCAAAAAAAAAAAAATCCAGCTGAGAAGAAAACAAGCAGCAAGGAAGTGTCCAAAACCCTAAGGAAACGTTAAGCCAAATGCCAAAGCTTTGTGGCTGGTGCTTTAGCTATTCTGTTCTGTAACTAAGGATGGAGTTTTCAAAAGGTTGAGTGCCCTAGAAGCAGAGGTGCTTTAGGTCTTTCACAGCAGAGAGACTCACAGGTTGCACCAGAGACTAATCCCGAAACACCTATCCATGCAACTGCTACTGAACTATTTCAACAACAAAATATGAAAAGGAAGATAAGTTGCTAAGTTCAAGAGCTGTATTAAACCTGATGAATCTTGTGAAACATGAACACGAAGGCTCACAGACAGGAGTGTATAAAATTAAACAGATTCATCTTAGAGAAGTCAAGTTTTTCTTATGTTCTGAATTTATGAATTTCAAATAGGAAATTAATGAATGAGTGCACCAAATATTGCTCAGACTTGCCAGCTTCCACACACAGCTCCAAATCTCAAATGTTCAATTTCACACTTCAGATGAAAAACCACATTGGCTCAAAATATTCACTAAGCCAGACAGTCTTTTGATGGAACTAAATGCACATTTGAATAAGTTTTGTGTAGTTCAAGTTTTGGATGTGAATATTTGCCCAGTCACAGGCAGGCTCTTAAGAAATACAGAAGCTGCTCAGAAACAGGGAGACCCAAGGGTATGACTCCATCAAAAATGCTTATCTTCTGCTACACTCTTATCAGCATCTTCTTTTCACTACCTCCAGCTCCACTCATCATTCTGACACAGGCAGATTTCCTTGTCACTTAGCAATGGCATTTCTATTCTGCAAAACCCAGCTGAGAGAAACTTTAAAAGTGCATTTACTATCAGAATACTGACTGTGCCACAATGGCGAAGATCACCTGAGATTTCTTCTTCCATCAGTCTGTTTCTTCTGTATACTCAGGGTTTGATCCACCCACCTTACTGACAAATACATGTTTTTATTACTTTTCCTCTTGTTGATTTTGCCAGGCCAAAAAGCTGCAGAAAAGTGAGATGAGATTCTTCTCTCACTTGTCTGATTTTTAGGCGTATGGCAGGCTGGTTTTAACCTGCAGGTAATTCATATTCACATAAGAGATCAGAAATACTAGAGACAGAAAACAGTACATTAAAATGACCACTGCCATTTTAAAAGCAGAAGAAAGTTTGGGGATACAGACAGCGTGTGTAAGCTGTTCATTATACATCTGTGGTTTGGGCGAACTGACATGCAAAGACTATAATCTTAGGCTCACCACTCTGCAATGGGGAATCAAGAGGATGTTTCAAATCCTGGGTTTTACAGGGTAACACCTGTGTGCATGTCTTTGGAAGGAAGGGAAGCAGTATATAGTACAATGGCAGTAGTCTAAGGGGAAAACAAAAGCTTATAAAGTTGATTACATTTTCAAAAAACTCATCATCTTTTACTTACAACAAACAAACAACCGAAAAACCCCACATGTCCATCTACTCATCTAAATGTACACCAAAAATCCCTCCAAAATCTTATGGCTCTTTTTGCAACTCAACCATCCTTCTTCCACATGTGATCCATTTATCAGTCGAAACACTCAAACAGTACAAAACAGTTTCACACAGATCACAAGCCCAGCAAACTTCAGCGTCCAAAGTGCGACAACAGAAAGAAACTTCCCTTCCTGACATCTTCAAGCATTCCAGAAAGTGCACTTTTCACTAGCCTAGATCTCGTGGACACACAGATACCCCCCAAATACTCAGCCGTTTTAGGTAAACATCTTAGTAGACCCTTCTGCACTCTTGAAATATTCCTTATTTTGGGCATAACAAAGTATAACTCCTGGGTAGGTAACACTACCCTATTATGAACCCTCAGAATTGAAAGGTCAGGAAAAAGAAAGGAACGAGGGGAAATTGTGCCCTGAAAAACTGAGTTCCATTTTCTTGGAAAAGCTCCTTAAAAGCTGTGAGGGATTCACATAGCACCAGTTGAGCAATGCCTCTTCCAAATACAACTTCATTAGAAGACTGCACATACTCTCCTCACCTCATCCCCAAGCTTCAGAGCAGCCAATAGACTTGAATATTGTCTGGCAAGCAGGGATTATCAGGAAATACCTGGCAAGTAGAGATTATCAATGTCCAGCTACTTTTCTCCAGCAATTCTGCTACAAGCACTCCTTTTAGTGGTATTTATGAGCAATGTTAGAACATAAGCAGAATATTGAAATAAAAGCTAACCCACCATTGCCTGAAAAGTTTTCTTCAACCCATTCTACAACATGAAGTTATGCAGAAATTTCAACAAAATGCGGGGAGCAAGAGAAATCTTGTATTTAGTAACAACAGCTCATTTGGCCTCTTAACCCTGCTTAGTTCTACCTGCAGAAAAGCCATCACCGTGACCTCTCATTTTTTTCCTGAGGTTAAGCCTCTATAGCCACCTACTTTCATCTGTTCCTGCTTTTTCCCCACTTTTGATACCAGGGTAACTGAGGGTTTTATCTCCAGCTCAGTCATAAATAATTATGCCCGCTGACATTAGCCAAGGATCCTCAAGACAGAGGCATGGCATGTGTGAAACAGTACATTCTCTTCACTCTTCCAAACCAGAAGAAATGCCAGCTGCTTCGCTTCCTTCCTCCTCCCTCCCTCCCCTAAAAATCCTCCTTTTCGCAACATGTTGAATGCTTGTGGTTGAAATATTAACTTACTGAGAGTGGGCTCAGAAATGAGATACAATGCTAAATTATCTAAAATGCTGCAGTGAATAATTTAAAAGTATGCAAACACCCCCACCTACAACATAATTTATTAAATATATGGAACACAATGCTTCAGGCACACTAGCTTCATCTGTTTAGTATAAGTCTATTGCATATTTCTCTTTATTAAAAGATAAAAATAAATAAATAAAAACAACAGCAACAGATTTGTTACCTACAGTTTTTCAGATCATTTTATATTTTTTCCATTAGACTGAATAATATCCATGCATCTTTCCTCTTTGACATCTGAGCAGTATTTAACAGCTTCTGCTCTAACACTGTACATGTTAATGTAACAAATTCTTGCTGTTTTTGGTAACAAACTTAGCAATTCCATTTACTGTGGAAATGAAAATTTTGTATTTTGCATGAGCCGTAAATCCAAATTGATACCTGCTTATGCCATTAAAAAAAGGGCATGTTTTATATGATTACAGTTATTCAGAGTAAATTCCAGTGCAACTAATCATGTCCTGACAATCCAGCATTCTCACACAGTCCCAGTGGCATAAAACATTCTTCACTCTCTGGCCTGAATGGCTCTACTGTCCTATTCTTGGCTTTTAAGGCACTCTCGGAGGGATGTATAGATTTCAGCAGTAAGAAGACAGGTCCTTACACTGAAACGCTTAATTACAACAAGAGTGCCCTGTCTGTAGATAACTGCTGCTGGAGTAAGCACCACTAGTTCCTTGTATTTTCCCTACGCACAGCACCTCCCACGTGATTACACTGGAGCACGGAGAGCATTCATTTCCGCGCACACACGGCCTGCTGCAGAACAAACGTCTCCTATTCCTGTCGTGACGGACATTGACAGCCTGTCACAGCGCGTGCACCAGCGCTGCCATCAGCCCCACAAATCCCTAATGCTGACTTGTCCCCAACGCTGCTGCAGGAGGTGCTAGACCCTGCAATCTCTGCCACACGGGAACAGCAAAGTGGTGGTTTCCCAAGCCCCAAGCAGCTTGGGGGAAACTCTCTTGCGTACATCTCCCTTCTGGAGGTCTGTACTACGAAAGCACCAGAGAAGTTCCCCAGGAGGGACTGGCATTGAAAAAGAGATGGTGATAAAACAGCTTCAGAACATCTGAGGAACTTTTGGCGCAGAGTCCAAGTTAAATGGTGTCGCTCTAAAACGAACTCCCCTAAATGCAGCGATATTTCTTTCTGCGAGAAAGGGACAACCTGTCTACAGAGATAGCACAAATGATCACTTTCACATTTTACTTATACTTTCCTGTACTTACTCATTTTCCTCTTTCTTCTAAATCAGACCACTTTCTGTACACAAGGAAAAACTAATTACGTGGTTCTGCATCATTCAAGTACCTACGTGAAAACTTTCCTTAGATCAAATGAGAAAGTTACAGTACAAACATGGAGGTTTGCTTGGGAAGAACTTGGAACCAAGAGGGCAGGACTGGTTTAAATTATATTTACAGTAAATTAGAATCAACAAATTTACATCAGAAGTACAAACAACTTCACATTTAGCTCTTCTCTCTATCTACTCAAAGTTTTACACACAAACATTTCCATCTGTTCATTCACACAGGAATTAAAGATATGAAAAAAATGCTACATTAAAAAAAAGCATTTGTGAAGAGATAGTCAGCAAAAATTCATAATGAGGAAGCAATGTTGTCTTTTTGTTTAACAGCACTGTATTCAAAGAGATCACCATTCAGTTTAATGAGATAAAGTGACGACTTGGGAATTTTTAACTTATATACACTCCAAGAAAGCAAAAAATAACAACAGAAAAAAAAATCCCTTGATAATTCTCTGCATATGCAAATACACATTGCTGTCTTCCAAGGCTGATTTTTTAATTTTCCAATGTGAGTCTAGAATATAATGAAAATTTACCTGGAGTATTCTGAATTAAAACAAAGGGGAAAAAAAGAAAAACAGAACAAAACCAACCAAAAAAAAAAAAAAAAAAAAAAGAAGAAGAAACCCTACAATACAAAAACCCAGAGCACATCTTGAGACAGATATCGCTAAGCTCAGGAATCATTTCATCTTTTCAGGATATGCCTAAAATCTTGTAAGCTAGCATGAGTCATTTCAATTACACGCACACACACCGCTCCCTCCTCCATATAAAAAACTCCACTGGATGT